ATCTTCATTATAAATCGTGCATTTAAATTTTGATTTCTTATACGGATTCCTACACAATTTGGTAGTTCACAGTTGATGAAGAATAAGTAAAGTGTAAGTAGGGAAAATATATGTATGCATCATACAGTATTACATTCTTTCTCCTTATGTAAAAACGAACTATATATAATGTGAAATTTTCCTTTTCGTGGAAATATACGTTTTGTATAATTATCTATTTATTGTCCACTTTAAAACGAAAACTACACTTTATAAATCTGATGCGTTCGAAACGCTTTTTGATTTACCTTTACTGGTATGATCTAACCACCAAGAAATAAAGAACATTAAGAATGTTTAAGTATTCGAAGACGCGAGATGCTATGAGACAAAAAACTTGTTGAAAACCAATATCAAATCCAGCTAAGGTCTATTTTTAAATGTGTTAATCTTTCCTACTCTGTCGTGACCCTTTGATTCTGTTTTGAAGATATTTGTTCATGGTTTTTTTTTTATTGAATTTTAATAAAAGCTATAACATTTCGTTTGAGAACACCAGTGTTAATTGTGTAAAAGAGGGAAACATAGATATGTCAAATGAATGTCAATTCATTTATGATATGAAATTTAACGTCAATAATAACCAATCGCAGTTTTTATTATTGAATGAGCGAAAACGACCCATTGGAAATATCCGAGAGATTGTGATGCTTTATCTCACCTAGTGCATCTCTATTCATTCAGTTCTAATCAACAGCTTCCATACTAGGAAATGATAACGAGTATGATTGCCAATGAGACAAGTAACCACTAGAGACTAGAGAACGAGTAGGTACACTTAGTTTGATCTCAATTATTTCGAGCATTCAATAATATGCTGTATATTTTCTAGTTTTTTTTGTTATTGGTTAAACCGTTATTCTAAAATTACGTGATGTTTCTGTACACATTTCTAGTATATGTCCTTATATTATACGCAGTGTTAATCAATAAAGGGATCGAAATTAAAAAGGAAACTATCTTAACCCCACCACATGTTACTGTGCTTGTCCCAAGTTAAGAACATCACCAGTAGCTATCGTATGTAATATCTTAATGTATTTGCAATTGTTAGAACTAGATGTTAATTAAAGATCTTTGAATGTGTTGTTAAATATATAAACAACGGTTATATACTTGTTTTAACTAAGACCTTGACGAATTATATGAAACCCAATGTTACCTTCTAAATGTCTATTGGATATTTTATTCGTTATATTGTTGAATAAGTGGTCAACTATTTGTGATCGATTTACAGTTGTCTGTGCTATGCATAATTCTCTCATTTGTTTTTAAATCATGATATGCATACCTGTAATAGTTTTTAAATTGTGTTGCTTTGCCAAAAAGAGGGGCGAAAGATACCAAAGGGACATTCAAACTCATACGTCGAAAATAAAATGACAACGCCATGGCAAAAAAAGAAAAAAAGACCAAAAGATATATAACAGTAAACAAAAGACAACAGTGAAAACTAAAGACTGAGCAAGACGAACCCCACAAAAAAACGGGGTAATCACAGGTAATCAGGAAGGGTAAACAGATCCTGTTCAACATGTGTCAACCGTCGTGTTGCGCATGTAAGTACACACCCGGGGAAAAGAGGACGGGATTGTGTTTACAACAATTAAAAATTATCCGTCGTCATCAGTGAAACAGATGTTCCTTAATAGTCAACCAACTCGTGATGGCATCCGTAAAATTTATGAAGGGATGATTTCAACTTCAGCATTTGGAACTATTGGCTTAATATCTTCCTTGTGAGCAGCAACTCTCTCGTACGGACATCATGATAGGAAATATAGGAAATATGAGCGCTGGAATATCGTATCAACTGATTTGGTTTTTTTAGTTTGGAATGACGGATACTTGTGTAAAGTGTTGAAAAGTCAAACGATTAATACTATTGCAAGATGAGATGAGAGAGTCTTAGATTGTATGTACTGTATGAATTATTTAGTATCCACATCTGATTCACGCCATCTCTAGAATAGGTAGTTTCACAACAAATATGAAGCCCGGCTTTGATTGCTGATAAAATTGAAGTAAATAATTTAGAAAGAGGTTTCGTTGAGCAACTGGAAGAACCAGCAATATTACGTTGTTTATAAAGACACATATGAAATTTAGGTATCCAATACAGTGAAGAAAGATCCAGTTCTACATCTTTGGTTGAAATTCCAAAGGAGCATAGAACAGACCTATGATTATCCAGGATTTCCTCCTTTGTAAGTGTCGTGCGGGTATATTGCTGAGTTTCCAAGTGAATTGCCAATACCTATTGCATTTATCATGCAATTTATGTAATGTGATTTACACACAAACAGGATGTTGTTTGAGGCTTTATCTACAGGGACAACACCATATTTGTCATGGAGTAGGACAGGTCTTTTGAAACAGTAGGGTCTTCAATGCCTGGCATACTTCTCGACTGAATCCATCAGTATTTTGAAGTTGTGTTTCCAATAAATGGATTTAGGCTCACGATATTTCGGGCCTTGGGATAACACATCTCGCAGAAAAAGTGTTATTGACAATGTTAAGGTCGCCAGTAATAACGTGGCCAGTCGCATTATGTCTTTCGTAGACAAAACGCGCGTCTGGCGTACAAAATTTGAATCCTGGTATATATGATGAGTTTATTTACAACCACTGGGTCGATGCCACAGCTGATGGAGTTTTTCGAGGGTATCACCAGCTCAGCGGTCAGTACTTCTGTGTTTACAAGAATTATCATTGATATTGTGATTATAGATTATCTGTTTACAAAACTTTGAATTTCTCCCCAGGAATAGATTACCCTAGCTGTATTTGGCAAAACGTTTAGGAACTTTGGGTCCTCAATGCTCTTCAAGTTTGTACTTTATTTGACCTTTTTAACTTTTTTTATTCGAGCGTTACTGATGAATCTTTTATAGACTTAAACGCGCGTCTGGCGTACACACTTTCAATCCCTGGTATCTATAATAAGTTTAATTATATATGAATGGGGAACTAGCAAATGTGCATTCAGGAGGTTCAGACTTGAAGTCGTCATTATGGAGATTTGAACACGTGCTTGCATTTGAAAATTGTAGTCGCAATTGGTTTGGTATAGGTATAAGAAATGATGGGAAAGACTGATCTTTACAATAGGGAGGTATTTTAAAGTGAACTGATTCATGATGAAGGATATGCCCAAGTTGATTGCATCGAGACCTTTGTTTGCAAAGGAAGGTTTAGGAAAGAATCTTTTCTCCGTTTCATCTTTTCCAATGCAGACTGGTTTGAAAAAGTCTGTGACTGGCAATATCCCAGATGATAGATGTTAGTTTGAATGAGGGTTTGTTACCGTTGTTTCCAAACATATGATATGACATGTGAGAGAATGAAGTTTTAAAAGGGCTAGTAAATAAAGCTTCGTGCAAATATGATGGATACCCAACAATTTTTGAATAGCAGCAGGTCATTAACAGAGACATCACGGAGAGTCGGTGATGTGTAATGACGATAACCATGACTGCATCTAAGTTTAGGAGTAGAGTTGAAAATGTTCATCACATTCACCGAGCTACAGGAAGGACTACATAGAATACCTTTACCATCAATTTTGTCATTGCAACCATATGGTGTCGAAGTACCCAATTCACAAATCCAGTTGTCCTTTTGTCTACGAAAAGATGTTGCAAGATGAGGATTGTTTGTCCTGTGGTATACTTATTCGATGATGCAAACTCTTGCATAGAAAGGATTGAATGATCAGGCTGATTAACATGCTGGTAAACAATGTTAATCCATGATATACTGGCAATTTGACCTTTCTATACGTGCCAATTTATATCGTGTTCAACTGACTGTAATATCATTTATACTAGCCATTTCGTACATTATAACATTTTATTCAACGCATTGTAAAATTATAATATAATATGCATTTTGCAGCTTTTGACCATTAGTTAGATTGGTTCAGGATTAGAGTATCAGCACCTGCTAGTCTTATTTGATGAAGCCAAATCGTCTCCAAGATGACTCCAGCACAATACCAAACTAATTCAGTTTTGCCGTTAATACAGTTTCTATCCTGTCACAGATGCTTTCAAAATGAGGTTTATACAGCATACATAATCAAATAAATCATATTTTCTATTTATCTGTTCTGTTATCATGCTGTATTTTTTTTGTAATACCACTATGTAGACATATATAAGACATAAATTATAAAAAAATAAAAATTTATTAAAAAAGGTAATAACAAACAAATGCAACATTGAAAAAATATAAAGCTTCAAAATTAAAATAAGTTAAAAACCATATAAATATATAAATAAATACTATTTGAGAAAGTTATGACAGATATTGAGCAACTTTATATAATCTTCTTAACTCGACAATCACATTTGAACTATTTATTTAGTAAACAATACAACCCTGTTTTAATGACTAAAATTCAAACAGTTAACATGCATTAAATTATTGACTATTGATACAAATATTTCACAATTCATTATAAGTATTTGATACATTTGTAGAATCTTTAAAAAAACAGAATACAAAAAACCCTTTAAATTGCAAGTTGACCTTAGTTCGAGTTGGCTTTTATTTTTAGGCCTGTTGTGGTCATATAGCTCTTCAACTGCTTTGATTCTTATACATCCTTGGTTTCAAATATTCGGCTTTAAGCGTTCCTGGTAAAAGTAAATCCAGAAAAGCGCTTCGGACGTATGACATTTATAGAGAGTTGTTTTCATTCAATACCAATTCGAATAAATATACAAATTTGTCACAACAACATTAAAAACAAAAATAAATACACTCTTGCACACACTTATACTTGAAATAAAGCATCCTTACTTAAACACTATCAGTAACATTTTCCCTGAAATAAGTAGCATACTAGCATATATCTTTTTAAACATACAAAGTTAATGATAAGTTTAATTCGAGAATGTTCGATTGCGGACGGATATGTCACTAATTTTACCGTTAATGTGAGTATTTAACAATTTGATATCATAAATATACAACCATATATGTCCATAGGACTTTACAATATGTGTTCCAATAACTCTGGAAAGGATGTGTTTTATATCATGGACCTTACATTTCTTCTGGTCCATCAGCTTGAGGTCGGGCAGTGGTCATTTGTACATCATTTACGACCTCTCTTGGCTGTTCACATACATAAGCTACTGGAATATAGGTATCTGTTACTTCATATTTATAAAATCCATTTTCACAACCTGCTCTTTTTAATATCTGGATTTTCTGTTGAATTGGTGAACATTTCTGATCTCCAGAAGCATCTATACACTTAGTACATTTCGTAGTAGCTCTATATAGTTCATGGGGATATGTTTCAGCGCTGTACTGCGTTTTCTCTAAGTACCATGGACATGATGTACGTACCATTAATGGGAAATTAGATCCTTTTAAAAATGTTGAAGGACAGCTGATTTTAGTTTTATTTTCTCCGTGATTTACCAAATGAACAAAATCATTGTCCAGTGTGTCTTGTTTCCAACCTTCCGTGAATAATAATGTCCTGTAATCTACACCTCCGTTTAATCCATTGAATTTAGTCTGTAAGTCTGTAGGATCTGTACATGTTGGTGCACTATTGACGGATACGATACAGCATATGATGTGTACTAAGGCAGCATTAAGTATCTGGAAATGAAATGATGAATAAATATAATTGTGTGCTCAAGTTTGTCAATTTGTGCAAAAGTATAAACTAGTGCAGATTCAATTTAGAAATTCGTTCAATATTTAAAAGAATATTTAAAAATGTTCTATTGCAGTTTTATAGATTGGTTTTGAAATTCAAATATTCTATCTACTGCTAGTAGATATAAATGAAAACATTCTATGGTTGTATTATATAGACTTATTTTATTTACTGAATAACCGAAACATTTAACTATTGTTGCTTACATTGATAAAATTCATCTTGTTTTGTTTTTCTGGAAAACTTATTCAGGCTTCTTGTCTTCTTATCTTCTTCTTGTCTATAGTTGTTGCTGTTATGCATGCAATATTGATGTTGAACAATATTTAAACCGTATTTTCCGGATGCATTCTATTTTTATAAATTGGAAATCATTTAATAACTGAATGAGTGTTGTAAGTATCTGCTACAGCTGATAACCTAGCCTCTGTCTTACAAATTGGAAACTTTATTTTAGTATTGTATACTTAGAAGTATACACAGAAGTTTTAATCATTTTTACCACACATAATTTTCCTTTCCGGTAGACACTTATTATAGACAAGTTAGGTGATTTCTTTCAATTTTTGTTGATTGTTTTTGTTAAGTTCGACCATTATTACTTATTCTACAATATGTACGAGGCATACATGTATATGAATAGGCCAATTTGATTGATTCAAACGTTGTTTTATAATTTATGATTTTTAATTGTGAAACATCTAATAGTGAAAGACGGAGAGACAATTTTTTTCATAAACATTTTCGATGGAACGGACAATATCTACATTTTATCGTTTACTTGATCAATATACTAATGGAAAAAAGCATTGTAACAAAATCGCTACTTCTAGATAATATATGTAATACATTGATGTAATAAATCTAATCAAACCAGTGACTTTTTTTTATTGCAATAATGTATCCATTTATTTCAAAGATGTGTCGGACGTGCTTGAAAGAAGAAAAAGAAAAAATTATAAAAATATGTTTTCACTTGTATAATATATTTAATTAATGATTTGGTGAAAAAAATGAGAATGGAAATGGGAATGTGTAGAGGAGACAACAACCCGACTAAAATGCAGAATGCAGCCCATGCCACCAATGAGTCTTCAACGCATCTATTTGAGGAATGTCAGAACATATTCAAATAGATAACAGATCCATATTTTGTTATTGTTTTTACGATCAAGTTAAGTTTCAAGAGTTTTTTACAGTGTTGTTTTAATTTTTTTTACCCTTGTATTTATAATTAACTTCATTTTTAACTTATCGGGATAGTATATACTAGTACGGCATTATGCTTGAATACATTGTTTGCACTATCAACAACAAACACATTTTTTTTTCGCGTCTTTGACAGATTTTGTGTCTTTGTCCCAACTCATTAACGTGATGATTTCGCGCTTAATATATTCCGATATCAGAATACACATTTTGAATGAGTGCGGAATCGGATGATGCATGCATCGCAGGAGACGCTTACCCTGATTACCCATCAGTTTATCAAAATTTATTCCGTACTTGGAGTACAAAACGTATGTTTGAAACACCAAATCAAGTAGTTAGATTGGTTAATTTGTTGGTATGAGTAGAATAATCGTACGCAACATTTTATGACTCGGTATCGCTCCTTTATGAGTTTATGCGATTCCCTATGTTTTTGTGTTTCACCTTGATTTGTATTTTCTTAATGTATTTATTTAAACTACTGTAATGATGTCCCTAATTTATTGAGATCTAGACCTAAATATTGTCAAGTACAGTAAAGATCAAGTTAATTAAAAATATATAATCGTTCGACGATAGCTCACTTAGAAGTTATCAGATCATCAAAACATTATCTTACATTGAACTTTAGTATTGTCATAATTATCAAATATAGTGCTATTGCAATTCAATTGTTGTTTATTTAATTCCCGTTGAAAGTATCTTATAGATAGTCGGTGTAAATGAACGAACGAATTCGTGTCTTCTTTCTTAAAGTACAATGACAAACATTAAGCAAATTATTAAAATGCTAAAATGAAAAATTAGAGATTTCCGGTGAATCTTGATTTATTCTAAATATCAACTTGCTTACTAATCATGCTTATGTACAATACTTTGTTCGTCTTCTTTAGGTAATAAGCCGGATTTAAAATGACAGTATCGCTAATTTGTATTCATTTGTGATTTAATTTAGGGAATAATTAATACATTTATTAATTATCGAATTACATGTTAAAAAATTAGTGTTAAAGGAATGTGGTTCTGTTAACTTTAAAAATATAATCACACGTAAAAAGTAAAATAACAAAATACCGAACTCCAAAGAAAATTCAAAACGAAAAGTCCTTTATAAAATGGCAAAATCAAAAGATCAAACACATCTAACGAATGGAAAACAACTGTCATATTCCTGACTTTGTACAGACATTTCCTTATGTAGAAAATGGTGGATTAAACCTGGTTTTCATTCGAAACCTTTCACGTTTACGTAGTGGTGGACTAAGTAACTTTACTTTGTAAATGAATTTAACCTGTTAGGATTAAAAAAAACGAATGTTTATTCAGCAATAACACAAGACCTAACCGAAAAAGAAAAATGTTCCGACAAAAGTTGCAACCATTATATTTCACTTTAGGCTTTTTTCTGTCATTGCCAGAGTTAATTACAATACACATTTGTTATGAAACTCTTTGGAAATAAATAAAACAGAATAGCCATATCATTAGCAAACACTTTCTTTGATTTTAAACTGACAGAAAAAGTATTTTCTCATTTCTTAACCTTTTAGATGATTAAAAGTTGGTTTTTATCATCAGATTTTTACGGTAAATAAATTATTGTTTAGTTTTGTTCCAAAGCAAAAATAAAGAACCAATAAATCTTTTCAACAGTCTTTAATAAGACTAGGACCGGAATACGATTAAAATGGCGTTTGATAGGATTTAACTTTATATGTTTTATACGAAAATTGGAGTGAAAAATAATAAGAAATATAAGAAATCCTGACGGCTTTAATCTAGGTAAATATTTCTTGTTTTAGATGCATTACTCGGCAGATATTTATAATTTAAAATTTTACATTTAACACCGTTTAACTATCCGCAAAATTTAGATACACGAATGAAGCAACATAAAACTGTACAAACATAATTATTAAAAAGAGCAATGCTAAAAAGTATCGCATTGATCTTATGACGAAAATTAAACCCTCCTTTAGACACTGGACATGTATAATGCATCATTTATACCCTGAGGTATATTCAGGAGTTTATTTTAGAGAACAATATCTCGATTTCGAATGTAAATATACGTCATACATACTTCTGTTTGCTGTTTAGCAATATTATTACAAAATTCTACTTGTGATTCAATTAGAACTTGAAGTGTTAACATTTGAAAATCCTTTTTAAATGGTAGTAATATCAATATTTTCCATGTTTTAAATTTATTACACCGAAAATACACAATTTGTCGAATACAGATGCAGATGTAGATACAATATAGTTTATTTCAATCGGGAAAATGATACTTATTTCATGTGGTGAAGAAACTTAAAAAGAATTTTATTGTACTTTCCATTTTAACAAAATAACTTCTATACCAAGACAATTCAGTAATTAAACTACGTTAACTTATATTAAACAGAACTATACAATTTTCGTCAATTTATAGTAGTGCAAATGCACTCAAAAGTACTGATTGCATTCTTCGTTTTATTATTTGCATAATGATGTTATACTATAACATTTGTGCAATCCTAATAGTCGCTGGATTAACAAATGATTATCATTTAAGAGAGAGACAAAATATAACAAAGGGACATTCAAAGTCATAGGTCGAAATTAAACTGACAACGCCATGGCTAAAAAGGAAAAAAGACCGACAGGCAAACAACAGTACTACGCAAAACACAACATAGAAAACTAAACACTGAGCAGCACAAACCCCACCAAAAACTAGGGATAATCTCAGGTGCTCCGGAAGGGAAAGCAGATCCTGTTCCACATGTGGCAAATGTCGTGTTGCTCATGTAAGAACAAACCCGGTGATAAGTCTAATTCGGTAGGTCACATTCGGGGAAAAGGGACGGGATTGTACTTACAACAGTAAATAAGCAAGCAGTAGTATCATGGCGAATAAATTTGATAAATCCCAATTACACCTCGAGTACTATATAACCATAGGTTCAAACAAACACAGATACACAACACAATCATTCTTGTTAATATTTGGCAAAAAAATTCAACGATTGACTACACAAAACTAAAGTTTTTCAAAGTCTATTCCCGATTTGAAGATACGCAGGCAAATCACAGTACAAGATTTGAATAATCAGTCATTTAGTTGCTTTTCTCATTTACTATTTTGCGTATTTCTCCCTTTTTGTTACAATTGAGAATGCATTTTGTCAATTTCAAATTTTTGATGACATTATTCCCCTTTTTGACAGACTAACTTTTTGGGTGTTCAAAAAGTTTATATGTTTCGTTTTTTTTTGCAATGGTGTTTTCTGCTTGTATCGAACATTTTTTTCAATTGCTAATTGGTAATTTCCTCCTCTATTTTGAAAACAAAGTCTATAAATATAGCTTTCATAATTTAATTATTATCCTCATATGCAATTATTTTTGAATATACCTTATTTAATTATTCAAAGAGATTTTAATATTCAAATTAAGTTGATAAAACAAATGATACGATTTTTATAGAACCAGTACTTGTTTTTCTTCTGGAGTAAACTTTATCAGGCTCACTTGCTCGAACGTGACCTATCGAATACGACTAATCAACGGGTTTGTAATTACATGAGCAACACGACGGGTGACATATGTGGATCAGGATCTGCTTCCCCTTCTGGAACACCTGAGATCACCCATGGTTTTGATGGGGTTCGTGCTGCTCAGTCTTTAGTTATTTATGCTGTGTTTTGTGTACTTTTGTTCGTCTTTCAGTCTTTTTCCTTTTTTGCCATGGTGTTGTTAATTCAACAATAAGGAGATGTGGTATGATTGCCAATGAGACAACTCTCCACCAAAGTTTAAATTAAGTGGATGTAAGCAATTAAAGGCAACCGTATGGCCTTCAACAATGAGAAAAACCCACACCGTATAGTCGGCTATAAAAGTCCCGACATGAAAAATATGAAACAATTCAATTGGAAAAACTAACGGCATTTATATTTATTTATAAACAAAACAATTTACGAAAGATAATTATGACAGATATGAACCAACGACAACCACTGAA